GGGGGGGAGGGAGGTGTGAAGGGTTTGAAACGAGGGCGGGTGAGGTAGGAGCTGGGGGCAGGAGGATGGGGGGAGTCAGCTGCTGGCTGCTGCGAGGCAGCGCGCCTGCGCGAGGCGCCCCGGCAGCCGCAGCTGGGTGGTCCGGGAGCCACCACGGCCCTGCCCTGCCAGGAGGATCCTGGGCCGACAAACGGCACGCACTGTGACAGGTATGCAGGGCGCAGGGGCGCACATGGCACACCACCGCGCTTACTCACACCCAGGGCACACACAGTGTTGAGCTCTCCTCCGCGAACCCCCTTCTTTTTTGCTCTCTGCCTCTCTCCCAGCCTCCTGTGATGTCGCCTTCATCCTCCTTACGTCTCTCTTTCGCATGCGTGCATGCGCCTCCCTGCCCCAACAGACACACTTACACCGCTCTCTCACTACACACGCAGGCGCACACGCACACGCACACGCACACACACCCACACACACACCCACACGCGCGCACGCGCGCGCACGCGTACACAGTCACGCGCCTGGCGTATCTCTCCTGGATGTTCTGGTGCTGCACCTTGTACATATTCTCAATGTAGCTCTTAGCTGCCGCCACGCGCTTCTTGGTATCATCCGACAGCGCCACCGACCCGCCGCCGCCCTCCATGGCTGCCGCTGCTCAGATCGGGCGCGTCCGGGGTGGACGCACGTCCAAAGTGGAGGGCGAGACGGGGTGCAGCCGCTGCCGGCAGGCGCTCGAGCCGCGCACTGCGGCTGCACGCGGCGGGGGAGCCGGGCGCGCTGCGCGCACGCCCCTCTGCCGCTGGTGCTGCTGCACGGGCCCCGTCCAGGCGATCGGGTCACCGTTCGCCCCTGATGCCGAGCCTAAAGCTTCAAGGACAATACACGATGTTTTACCGCCAGAGCGAGCGGCTAGAAGGCCTTGGAAGGCGGTCTGCCTGCGTGGAACCAACCGCTGGGCTAGCCCCGCGTAGCTTGATACAGACGCGAATTAAAATTGGTATCCATATATCTTATTTGAACAATCTAGAGCCGCTGGTATGGATGCCCCCGCCCTTTTGAGTCCAATGATCCAAGCAGCTGTCGCGCCCTGCACGACTGAGCAATCTTGCTACGGTATGGCATCCCACAGCCCTGGATGCTGGCGGCGGTGCATGCGTGCAGGGGGTGCACATCTCGCTAGCGTCCTGTCACATGGCGCCCGCACACGTCACCCTTGTCGGGCCACAGCATGCACTTGACAGCCATCGATCGCCGGCACGCCCTGCAATGCGGCCGAGCACAGCGAGTTGATGAACATTGAGTGTTACGTACGTGGTATGCTTATCTTCATGCAACACTTGCTTTGAAGCCACGCACCTAGACCACTGAGAGGCCGTGCCCGTGTCATGTGAATATCATAAGCCTGCCTACCGTGTGGGGTCTGGCACTAAACCGTATGGTACAACGTACGGTACTGTACGTACGATTTGACGTATTACGTTACGTTATTACACGGTATAGTCAGTGCCCATAGACGCCGCTGCGGCACCGCACAGCTCAGCCGCTGCGCTGCCAATGCGGCGCACATATGGCGTAGGTTTTGCTGCACAGGATTCCACAGGCAGGGAACGGGGTTCCAGTGCTGCATCGCAAAGGTGCATGAAAAGCGCCAGCCTATCTTCATTTGCAAGGGGGACTGTGCGGGGCGCAATGGACCTATGGTGGAAGGCCTCACAGTGAAACCCATTCTGGTTTCAACCATCAGCCACACCTGACGGCTGTGTCGCAGACTGGTAATGATGAAGAAGCAACATCAGGCCGGCAAACAGCTTGCTGCCAGCTGCTGGCGAACCGCTGAAACCACCCAGTTCTCATCAAGTTTCAAAGCTGTTGTGAAGCTCCGACCTGCAACGCTACCTTTGCAGGCCCATTGCTGCTAAAGTATATGGCGGATTTGCTGTGCCGGAGGTGTGCACTACCACGCGGGTTGACTGCTGGGTTCTGCATGCCAGGACTCTGAGCGGGGCTGCTTGTCAACGTCTACCTCTCCCCACCGCACCATGCGCACACACCCCAGCATGCCCCGCCCCCCACGCGCCCTGGGCGTTGGAGCCAGCGGACCTGGAAGTGCCGTGAGGCGAGGCCGAAGCCAGCGCCTGTGGCTGATGAATGGGGTGTCCCGCAGCGCGGGATCTACGTGGCACGAGGGCCACGGGCTGGACAGCACCGGGCAGCAGTAGCCGCGCCGTCGCGAGTGGCCAGCATTGCGCGGGATCTTAAGGGAATCCCGACATACCCCCGGGCGCTGCACTGGGGGCCAGTGCAGCGCCCGGTATCTCCAGCTCCTCCAGCGCCTCCGGCTCCTCCAGTCCCCTCGACGCTCTCGGGCGTGCAAGCACTGCGGGGCGCAGCGGTGCGCAGTGGCACGTCGAGTGAGCGCGGGCAGGGCGAACGAGCCTGCAGGCATGGGACTGAGCCCAAAGGGGCTGCTTTGGCAGGCAGCTGGCTGCTCCTGCTGGCGCGCCAAGGTGGAGCGCGCATGCCGCTGCGCTAGCGCCGCGTCCAAGCCCGTGCCCACGAGACCCGCAGCATGCAGCAGACCGCTGTTGTGACAAGGGGCAAGCCCCAGTCATCCTCACAGCCCTCAGCGTTCCCTGTGCGCACCGTACGCCCACCCGGCTGACGAAAACAGCTGCCGAGCTGCGTGGCTGTGGAGGCCTGCGGGGCTATGGAAGGGCGCGAAAAGAACAGAGGCAAAGTGGTATTCGCTTCACCTCAGAGACATTGAAGAGTCCGGCTGCGCTCAGCAGGTTGCGTTGCCACGTTGACAAAAGCAGAGCTGCATGGCGCTGGTGACGACCTTTGACAAAAATAATTGTGAAACACTCTGCCAGATGTGTTTCAATGGAAGTGGGGCCACGATTCAGCAGAAAGACCCCCCCTCCCTGGACCAGAATCCGGTCGGTCAACATGCGATATTGCCAGGCAGGTGGCCGTGCATTTCGGAACCAGGCTTGAAGTATGAATTGGTGCTTCACCTGATGCGCGTCTCACTTGATCCCGCAGCTATGGTTATGCACTGATCATCATTGCATGCATGATATGATGGAGTTCATCTTTACTCCCCCTTCCACCTGCTGTCCAGCTGCACTGTTTCTCCAACTGGGAACGGAAGGGCTGTGAACGTTGACTGCAGCATATTACGATGCACAGCGTGACTGGCACTTGGGCCAGTCGCCCTGTGTGCACATATCAGCTGGGGTCACAAGACAGCTGCAATTGCTGCCTTGAATGTAACAAATAGGGTCCTCATCGCCCTTCTCAGACGAATCACACAGGTGTTTTGTGCACAGTGCAGTGCAACCGCAGGTGCCACCGTGCTGCCAGCAACAAGCATGTGCACATGAATCCATGTGCCACCCGGGCACACGAGAAGGCGGCGCAGAGGGCGCCGGCCCCTCTGGCCTTTCAGATATGTGATTCGATGCTTTGTGATATCTTGGCAGCACGTACCACAAGTAGCCCCACGCGAGCAGACGCAGCGAGGCTACTGCTCCGCATCAGATGTTGATTGACCTTGAGGCATGATCATCACAATGACGCGACCTTGATTGCCCGGGGGGTGCTCATATTGCAGTCCAGCTCTCACCAGATATTTAATCACCTGCATGCCATGCAGCGAGCGACACAGAGTTGCAGACAACACAAGTCTGAGTGGCACTGCAGGCAGGCTGGTTGCTGATTGCAGTACCTGCGGAGTGCGGACAGTGTGCACTTGATAGGGAGGACACCCCAGGCCTATGCACGGCAGTGGCCCCCTCGTTGCACCGAGATGCGCAAACTCACCGCCCTGCGCAGGGGCGCCTTGTTCTTCACGGGCCCGTCCTCCTTGCGCGTGTGCCGCCTGTGCCCCGTGACGACCATGAGCTTGGTCACCATGCCATTGGTTGTCGCAATGATTTGTGTTCCTGCAATATAGCCCTTGAGGGCCTCGATCGCGCCCTTCACGTCCTGCCCGCGCAGGTCCAACTCCCCCTCAAACTTGAGAATTAGGCGAGGAGCCCGCGGCGCCGCCTGCTGCATGTCCTCGACGTGCTGCTGCTTGGGCGAAGGGGGTGCAGCTGCATTCTGAGGTGTGGCATCCGGGGGCCCCCGCTTCAGCGCACCCGCCGTCCCGGTGGCCTGCGGCGTCTGGAGCATCCCTGCCGGGTGTCCTGTGCCAGCCTGCTCGTGCTGCGCGTTGCTGTCGCTGCGCATGCTGTTCAGTGCTTGGTGGAGCAGGGGGGTTTCAGGGCCGACTCCAGCGACTGGTTATGGCCCCCAAGCTGCAGAAGTTGTATGTACTTCGAAGCGACCTCCTTCTTGCCACAACGCAGGCGAGAACCAAGTCTTTGGACGAAAGTGGCACGGTCAACCGGCCGCAAAACACATGAAACAAGTTCTTATCGCAAATTAAACACAAAAATACTATTTTGGAACGTCGTGCGTTCATCACAATCTCGCTACAATCAGGAAAGCTCTGCTGTCCCACTGAAGCTGTGTTGTCGAGCAGTGCGGACGGTGCGCAGTGCGCGTGCAGAACACGGCAGCAGTTGGGCTGACCGGCAGCAACCCGCCGAGCAGCGACTGGGCATGGAAGCTGTAGGCTGCAGATTTGATGCGCATGGCCGCTAGCCAGGCCTTCCATGCCCCTCTGCGCTGTCGATTTTGGCACTTTTCAGCTTTGCTACCTGGCACGAGCCCCGCCGCGTTGCATCACTGTAGCGGGGCTTTTGCAGAAATGCACGCTCAGCAGAGCGCCAACACAACCGTGCGGCGTGCCAGCCCTTAGAAACGGCAGCTTGACAGTGGCGTCCACCCATGGATTGAGAGGTGGTGTACATGAAGGTAGGGCCCTGGCGCCGCCACTGGCCATACAGCGGAGCTGCTGCTGTGCCATTTTCGACTCGCGTCCTGTGGAGGATAGAGTGAGAGACCAGAAAGCGCAACATGCAGCCTTGCCATATGACTAGATGCTCGCAACGCATAGTGCCTGGACGCCAGCCATTAATGCCTGTTTCCGCCTGTTTGCCCTCACACAGCTGCCCAGCCGCCATCCCGCGTCGAACACAATCGACGGTGCCACCATGAGTACCCCCGCCGGCAGCGCCGCCGCTGCGCCCCGCCCCCGTCTGCCACGACTGCCTTGACCGCACTGGTCCATCTTCCAAGTTGCATGGCGCCATGGGTTTGGGGTCAAGGTTAAGGTATAGCGTTCAGTTAGCGAAGGCCCAGCTATAACCTCAACGCAAGCCCGCCCAAGCATGATTTAATCAGCTGGGGCGGGCACACAGCTCTCGCTCAGAGGCATGAAGCAGGCGACTTACTCGCACCCGGCACTGCGGCCTGCATCCCCCCTCTTGCACGAGCTGGAGGCACCAGCAGATGAAGCGGGCGCCGCCAGCTTGCGCGCTGAGTCACAGGTTGAATGAGGCAGCCAGGGTGGTCCAAAACAGGCGTGCAGAGAGAAAATCTGGGCTTGAGCTGAAAGTGCGTGTGAGCGAAAGGGGATGTGCGAGCCTTGATTGCTTGTGTATGTGCGTGCTGCTGTCGCTGTCGGTGTTGTGCCACATTCTGTCTGATGCCGAATCCTGGTGCCCTGCCTCATGAGCCACCCGCTTTTTGCACCTGGGGTCCAGTAGGCGCACAACACATGCGTAGCACCAACTCCGCAACTGGCGACCGGCAATCTCTTGATAGCCGGCCCCCCCTACCTACCCCCCGCTGGCTAGCTGGATTGATAGTTCAATACAAGTGAAAAGAGCTGTGCACAATCATCGCAGCAAATGTGATTCTTTGGGACAGTCGCCGTTTGTGCGCTGGGGTCACAGCACAGCTGGGGTCACAACACAGCCGCAACTGCTGTGCTGAATGCAATCAGGCTTTGACTCCCATCTTACAAAAATTTACAGAGTTGGCTCGCAAACAGTGCGGTACGACTGCCTGTACAGCAGTGCTGCCCCAAGTGCAAATACATCCACGCGCCATCGGGCCACACAAGAAGGCGGCACAGAGTGAGTCAGCCACAACGGCCTTTCAGATTGGTGATTTGATCCCCTGTGGTACCTTGGCAGTACTGGAAGTAGCCCCATGCACGCGGACGCGGTGAGGCTACTGCCTCGCATCAGTTGATGATCTTCAAGGCATAACTATCACAATGATGCAACCTCGATTGCCCTTGGGATGCTTGTGCTGCAGCCCGGCTTTGACCAGGTGTGAAAGCGCCTGCGTGCCATGCAGCGAGCAATGCAGGGTTGCAGCGCTGCGGGCGAAGCAGAACTCACGCATGGGCACTGCTGGCGGGTCGCTAATTGCAGTTCATACCTGCAGACAGTGTGCGCTTGATAGGGAGGACACCCCAGACCTATGCATGGCGGTGTCTCCCTCATTGCACCGAGATGCATGCACGCACTCACCGCCCGGCGCAGGGGCGCCTTGTCGACCGCCGGCCGGCCCTCCTTGCGCAAATGCCGGCCTTGCCCAGTGATGACGGTGAGCTTTGTCATCCTGCCGCTGTCCGTCGCAATAATTTTTGCAGCTTTGATGTAGCCCTTGAGGGCCTTGATTGCGCCCTTCACGTACTGCCCGCGCAGATCCAGGCGTCCCTCCCACTCGTACTCCGTGCTACGAGCCCGCGGCGCCGCCTGCTGCTCGTCCACTGCGTGCTGCCGCTTAGGCGAAGAGGGTTCAGCTGAATGCTGAGGTGTGGCATCGGGAAGCCCCCGCTTCAGCACGCCTGCCGTGCCGGTGGCCTGCGGCGTCTGGAGCATCCCTGCCGGGTGTGCGACGCCAGCCTGCTGCGCGTAGCTGTCGCTGCGCATAACGTGCGGTGCTTGGTGGAGCAGGG